GATCAACAAACAAAAAAATTATTATTCCAAACTCAGAACAACAAAAGATTATTGGGTAAAATGCTCTAAATTAACCACGTCCAGATGCAGCCTTTAAGTTTTTCCTTGATCGAGGTGGGTTGTGTGTCAACCAAACCAAAAAGCACCAATAAAGACAACCGTTTTGCTGTTTTGCTTTCTGATTTTTTAAAAGGAAGTTTTCCAACATTGTAAATAGTCCTAGAATGATTTCTCACATACATCCCAGCGACAAAATGCACTTTACAGACCACCATGGAGGGGTTCCTGCAACACCCAAAGCAACCTATGATGGCTTAGTGCAGTGTGTAAACCTCCTTACAGTACTGGCTCTTGGGATACTTTCCTACCTGAAAATGAAGTAAGAATTGACACCAGCCATCGTAGTTTGCAAGCCACAGTTTGTGGCTTAATATCCCACACTCAGCCAAACAGGGTGCAGTCAATAGACCATCATTAAACAAACTATGGTTTAAGGTGACATGTAAAACCAGCTACTACAAAGGAATATGGGCGTGAGCAGGGGAACTTTTAGTCCAAGGTTGCATTTAATATTGTATTATAATTATAATATTGAGAGGAATTTTGCAGGTGGTCAGGGCTCAGAGCAGAGACAAACTCTGATCGTTTAAGATGCTCATTTCGGATCATTTCAGAACCTTGCATTTCTCTGTTGATTTCCATCTCGCAGTGGCCAATATTGTTTAAACCAGGGTTTCTCAGCCTGGTCAGGTTTAAGATGTGTGGACGTCAAGTCCCAGAAATCCCCATGGCTGGCTGGGGAATTCTGGGAATTGAGGTCCACACATCTAAAAGTGGCCAAGGTTGAGGAACTCTGGTTTAAAACCAAGGTCCCCCGAGGAAAACAGAACTAAGAGTCCAGGCGAGACGGTCGCTCTCTGCCCTTTTTTAAATCTCTGTGCTCTAGCGCTCCACCCGCCTCCCGTCACTGCACGGCTCCGCCTCCCCACAGTGACGCAGGAGGCAGAGCGGAGGCGGGGCGCAGGAGGCTCGTCGCTCTCGGATTTTTCCTCCCTCCTCCTGCTTGCTTTACGGCCGTCTTGCGCGACGCTCCTCCTTTTCCTCTCCTCGCTAAGATGGCGGTGGCCGGGGTGAGCTTGCGGTTCCCGCCGAGGCCTAGCGCTAATCCGCCTCCATCCGGCCACGGGGAGGGCGGTCGGGGCCCCAGCGCTGAGGGCTGGGAAGGGCCGGCCGTGGAGCGGGGGAACGGCTCGGGCAGGCGCCCGGGAGGGGAGAGGCCGGGCGGGCAGGCAGAGCCCGAAAGGGGGAGTGTCGGGTTACTTCCCTCGCCACGCGTGGTGGCTGTCAGCTGGGGCGCGTGAGGGGCTTCAGCCGGCCCAAGCGGCGAAGACTACAGCTCCCATACGCCCCGGCCAAGAGGCCACGCCGGATAGGAACTGTAGTTCGAGCTCCCTAGGATGTGTGCGTGTATGGAGGGTGGTATTGAGTTACTTCTTGTTGCCTTGTCGGAGGAGGGCAGATCCAGCGTTTTGCCTTCCCTCCGAACTGGCTTGAGATGAAAGACGAGACCCCCTCCCCGTCAGTCTGAATTGCTCTTTCAGCAGCGGGGCATCGAGGGACCCCTCGGTGGGGTGGAAGAGCACCTCTTGCGTGCAGGAGCGGTGGGGAGGGTTCGGCGGCCGAACGGAGCCTCCGGGGTTGGAGGCAGCCTGCTCTCAGCACCTGGGGCCAGAGCAGGATGGGGCAGCTTCCTGCCTTTGGGGCCACCCAGAAACTAACCGGCAGAACGGCGGGTTCTAGCCTGCCGACGGCGCTTTCTCCTGACTTGCTCATCTAGGGCTGCAGCAGCCCCAGCTGGATGGCCACCTGGCTGGATCCAAAACCAATCCCTGGTTTTCCAGGGGAGATGTCCACGTTGGGGTTGGCTGCGTTTTAGGGTGGGGGGGCTGGCTTGGGAGAGCCAGGCTTTTGAGCAGAAGATCTTGATTTTAGGGGACAGGTGATGGCCTTCCGGGCGTGGGCGTGTACGAAGGTGGTCTTCGATTCACACCCAGAAATGCCTAGGTAGAGCTGGGGGAGACCTTGCCGGGCAGAACGGCAAGCCATGAGGAGATGGGTCAGGGGAAGATCCCGTACACTGCAGTGGGTTCTGGGGCAGGGAGGAGAGCGGGCAGCCTTGCCTACTTGCAGTGGCTGCCAGGTGGTGGGTGTGGTTCTGGACAAAGAAGGGCGTCTGAGAAAAGGCATAACAGACCAATTGAGAAGAGGAGGTCATGGACTGTGGTGGGAAGGGGAGACGGTGCTATGTCTGCTTTGCAGCAGGAAGGTCCTACCAATTGCAGAGTCACCTGGCAAGTGGGTAACCACATCCGTTGAGCCAATAAATGCAGAGATCCCTGTCAATGATGGTTAGCTCTGCTACATAGGCTCAAAATCGATTGAGACTTGGAAAAGGCTAATGTACTAAGTTATGCCTCCCTTCTCAGGGACCTCTTAACCGGTTGCTCCTTGCTCTCCCTGCAGACTCTCTACACTTACCCTGAGAACTGGCGGGCATTCAAAGCCCTAATTGCTGCCCAGTACAGCGGTGCTAAGATCAAAGTCCTCTCCACACCGCCCCAGTTCCACTTTGGGCAGACCAACAAGACCCCCGAATTCCTGAAAAAATTCCCAGTTGGAAAGGTGAGCTGCTGTTTTTGCTTGCCTGACTCTAGTTGCTCCCCGTCATGACCCAGTTCTGTGATTTGTTGGTGGAATGGAAGACACTTGTCATCTTGATGGGTTACTGCGACTCTTCCCAATTTCCAGGAGCTAGTTGGATACAGTGATGGAAGTTGGTTTTCTGTGCCTGGTGCTCAGTTAAAAAAACAAGGCCAGCTCTAGCCTCTCACTGTCAGTGTATCCAGCAGACTTGATGCGTCTTCAGAACAGGCAGGGCTCCTTTTGGGTATCTGACCCATGTAATTGGGGGTATCCACATGTACCAGTAATGATATTTATTTAGATCAGTGTTTCTGAACCTTGGCCACTTTATGAAGTCTGGGCTTCAACTCCCAGAATGCTGGCTGGGGAATTCTGGGAGTTGAAGTCCAGACATTTTAAAGTGGCCAAGGTTCAGAAACACTGATGTAGATAGTCTTGTTGAGTCGCTTTCTCCAATGCTGTATCCCCCAGATTTATAAGAATTGTAGTTTCCAGTCAACATTGTGGCTGGCTGGGGATTCTGGGAAATATAAGTTGCAGCTCCCTAGATTTTATTTAGACATAATAAAAGCTTTTCTGACAGTGAGATCTGCGCAATAGTGGGATGATACTTGTAGAGGTTATGGGTTAACCACCTCTGGAGATTTTTAAGAATAAGCCACCTCATAGATTGTTTAAATGGTTTTTCTGCGCATTGCAGAGGGTCAGACCAGAGCCGGTTGGAGTTGGGCAGCATCAAAACAAACATAAATAAATGCTCCTTGCGATCACTTCCCATTCTATAATTCTGTAAAATCCCAACATGTCATAGCCTTGAGAAATAGGGCTGCAGTATAATCTAGTTTTGTAAAGATTGGGCATTAAATTCATTTTGTAAACCTCTCTGCAGACCATACTGCAGAGAGTTGCATACTCCGCGAGCTGCACTGGGTGCCAGTTTGCTTCCGGGTCCAATTCAAGGTGTTGGTTATCGCCTTGAAAGCCCTACATGGCATGGGGCCAGGCTACCTGAGCGACCGCCTCTCCCCTATGTCTTCAACCCGTCCCACCCGATCGCACAGAAAGGGCATGCTCCGGACCCCCTCGGCAAAAGAACTCCGACTGGTGGGGTCCAGAAGGCGGGCCTTCTCTGCGGTAGCCCCGCCCTTTGGAACATCCTGCCCCCGGAGGTGCGATTGGCCCCCTCACTCCTGGCCTTCCATAAGGTTTTGAAGACCTGGTTCTGCCACCT